TGCTCCAATGATCATCTCCCAGGTGCTGGGTATACCCCATGATCCTTCTGGCCATTCAGCTTGTACGCGACGTCGTTGTGTCGGTGGTTGATCATCTGCGTCATTCGGTTCTTGATCTGGTGCTCCTTCCGTACTCGGCGGGTCCTGTTCGGGTTGGTCAGGGTCTGCTGGTGGTTGAGACTGAGGTTCCCGTGTAAGCTGTGGTTGTAATCCTGGCTGCAAGGGCTCTCGCAACTGTGTAAACGTCGCATTCCGAAGATCAGCGAAACCACGCTGACCATGAGGAACTCCTTGCCACTCACGCTGATCTTCAGGAATACGATCCTCAATCTCATTGATCGTCGATCTCCTCGGGGTATTCGGTCCAGCCAAAATCGGACTACCATTGTGAAACAACCAGTATCCAAACTGATCCATGCCAATCACTCGAGCTGGTCCTTGCCACTTCCGATGTAGCTCGCGTTTGTCTCCACCTGCGCGCCAATAGTAAGCCCATTCACCTCGCTCGAATGGTCCAGGCTGAGGTCGGGTCTTTGATAGTACAGCTCGTCGTAGAGCTAAACTGCTGGCTGACTGGTGGAACGCAATCTCACAAGCTTCCTGTAGTCGCAGTCGATGCCGCATGGGCGATCCTTGAACAACTTGTCGAATAACCTCGGGATCGGTATGGAAATCTCCGAGAGATGCCGGTATTGTAGTGAGGGGTTCTCGCCAAGCACCCACTGCGCTGGGCTGAATCCCTTGTTGTTGGCGAGTCGGTTCATGGTCTGAGCAATCTGGTATCCGGCAACTCGGGCACTCTCGTCATCCCTGACCTCCAGCTCGCAAGCAATTTTAGTGGCCATCTCCTTGAAGAAACGGATCTTTCGTTCAACCATCCAATGTTGGTGATGCTCCTCAGAAGCAACTGGAATACATGACACTCCAATATCCTGGCACATAGTCTCAAACTCTAGGCGAAAAGCTGCGTCCTGGTCAATCAGCATCCTCTCCGGGGTGACCAGATTGCGTTGCCAGCCCTCCGTGAAGCGATCTTCGCATGTGCTGACGTTGGACTTGGCTTCCGATCTCCGCTGCTGATCATCCATTGAAGTGCTTCAAAGTCGGTAGCAAGGTCAAGCATAACCAAGAAAGCATGCATATTCCCACCCAAATCTGGTACACATGCCCAGACACTGATTGAATCGTATCCACTTCGGTAGACTTGCAATAAGATCTGCTGGCGGTCGCTGTCGAGAATCACATAGCTCACATTTGAAAAGCTTGGCCGCTGAGATTGCTGCTGGTGATCCCCCGCCTGTCCGAGTGTGTCGGGCAAGCTCGTCGCCGCGTAGAGCATGCAAAAACTGGATACTGCAACTTCTTGATCGCTGCCTCGAGTGCTGCCGGTACTCGATGCCAATCGGCATAGGTCTCCGCATGCGCGCCCGTAATTATTCCTGAGCTTGATGTGAAACCTGTGGCGGGGTATGTGTCGACGGTGTCGGGAACTCCCAGGATAGTCTCGCCTCCTGGCAGCTTCTCGAACTCGTGCTGTTGTTTCACACCTTCGAGAATCCTCTCTGCCATGTCTGTTGTCCATATTGAAAATTCACGTGACTTGCCACCGCGTCCTTGAACTTGACCATGTCCGCGATCTCGTGAACGCCGAACTTCAGGTGCATATGCCAGCGCCATTGCTGACGTCGCAATCTCGTTGGTTTCAGAAATCGATCTCCACGATCATCTCGCAAATCAAAGGCGCACTGATCACATCGAACCCAAATCAATCCAGGTGGCAACTCAGCCTTGATGATGTTCCACAATTGTGAACATAGAGGTTTCTCGAGTAGTGCATGACGTCCGTGCCCCATTCGATGCCTGAGAATTGCGAGTGCAAACTGAACATGCGCGAATGCCTTGGCTTGGCGTCGTCGTCTCTCCTTCGGTGGAAAGAAGTTGTTGATTGCAGACCACGCGTCACACGGAAATGGCACGATCGTGAGATATGGGTCTGCAGACTCAACGTCCCTCATCGTCTCTGCCTGCACGCTGGGTTGTAGTACATCATCGCCCGTAGTACGTAGATCCTTGCATGTTCCGGTTCTCGTGCCGAACTCCGTCGCCAGACGAGTAACAGTACGCTGACCGCCGTAAAACTCCTTGACCACTGTCCCAGGAATACGCTGACGATGTCGATCAACACGTAAGAACACTCCACGTAGCTTCAATTTCCCGTGCATGGTCGGCTACCCACGTATCCACTTGTTTCTTCCAGAACTTCATCATGATGCCGATATCTGACTGCATGATGTTGCTGCCCTGCGTCCGGTTTGATTCGTGCTCTTCTGCTGCCCAGTCGTCCAGCGTTTTCGTACTGGTGGTAGGTGCTTTCCGATGGCGACGGCGTCTTCGGACAATCCGTGATATTGACCATCGAGTGATTCTTCTTGGAACGTGTGATCTCGCAACTGGCGTGTCCAAAACAGCTCTGGAGATCACCTGATTGCGTTTCGCACTAATGAGCGTGTCCAGGGCGTTCATCTGATCAACACTCATGATTATCGGTGCGTTCGAGTTCGGCAGCCTCTCGAAGTTGAGCGTGCAATCTCGTCCTTGAATGCCGCTCGGTACTGCCTGAATACTTTCTGCCCTGACCGGGCGGCTGTGTTGATGCCTTGGAGGATCGTCCTGCTGGGCATCTGTAAGTTTGCTAGCTCGAACTTCTGTAGGTGCTCGTCGATAGCTCTGTCGCCGCCGACAGGAGCCAGAGCCGCAGTGTCCAGGGCCACGTAGCCTGGAGGTACCGCCTGCTCTGCCACCATCGTGTCGACTAACTCCTCGTTGATGTCAGTGGGCGTCCTGATCGGGTCATCGGGCTGGTTCATGATAGGCATTGTCATATTGCATTCCTGCTGATGTCCAGCTCCCGATGCTAGCATGGCCGCTGCCAGACCTGTACGTGCCAGAAATCCTCCAGCTCGTCCTCATCCAGCTCCTCGTCCTGATCCTTTTCTCTTCTAAGTGGCTGCCTTCCTCGTCTTGCTGCACTCTAGGTCGCCAGCCCAGTGTCCTATTTCATGGCATGCGCTGCGCTACACTTGCTTTGCCTCTGGAAGGCGCCGCGCTTGTCTTGAAGCTCCTTGGCGCCGAAACTGATCTTGCCATCGAAGTCGATGTAGGTCTTTCCCTGTCGAAAACCTCGGTTCGTCTTGCAATCTTTGATGAACTGTCGCTGCCGCTGTAGGGCCCGATCCTCCTTTGCCGCGTCCACGTCCTTTTGCCGCAATTGCTCCGACGACCTTTTGCGCCTCTGTCGCAAACGTCTGTTCGTCTTCATCCGATAGGTCTGCGACGTCAACAACTGCGAACGCCGTCTCGAGCTCTTCCACTTCCGCCGACAGAATCGCCATCTCGTTGTCTTCATCCTCGTAGTCCTCTTCTCCGTAATCCTCATCGGCTTCGTCATCCTCGATCTCCTCCTCAGGATCCGCGCCGACGGCTGCATTCCATCTGAATCGTCGTCCTCCACCATCACGCCTGTGATCTCGGCTACCTCGAGCGTCGATGCTGTCGAGCTGAATCTCGAGGATGTCGCATATCGCACCCCAAGCATATTCATTCTGAGCCTGGCCCAGGAACGTCTTGTGCTGAGCCTCCGTAATACCACGCATGTCCAATAGGAAAAACGTTCTGAGATTCTCCGACACCTTCGTTTGTCCATTCGTGAGGTGTCAACTTCTCGTATGCGTCTGTCCACCGTTGGATAAAGCCGTTTATCGGCTCTCCAAGCTTCCGGTGTCCGCGTCTTAAATAATCTAGAAACGCCTTGTGCTTCTGCAGCGGGGCCACTTTCTCCACGTATGAGCGAACACACTTGACGAGTGTGTCGAGTGCCTGCCCGACAGCCGCTTCTTTCTCCGTCGGGGTGTTCCATTTTGAAAACTGATCGGCTGGGGCCTTGACGCTGATCTTCTCGTCTTTGTGGCACAACGTCCACGCTCTCCCGTTGAGGCCTTTCTTGACCTTGGCGATGAAACCCTTCTTCTTCTCGGTGCTCTCCATGCCCAAGAATCCGAGCCGCGCTCTCTCATCCCGCTCTTCTGCTGCTGCCGCGTCTCCATCAAAACACGTGTGACTGTGGATTTCGATCGCTCGCCATCGTGAACTCTGAACTGCTCTCTATAAAGTCTGACGTGCTCTCGAGGAGATAGAAAGTGCTCTTGGGTAAGTCTGAGCTTCTCCCGAAGAAGTCTGCACTGCTCTCGAGGAAGTCAGAACTTCTCTCGTGGAATTCGTACTGCTGCGTATACTCGAAATCACGCACACGATCGCAAGATACACCCTCACCCCAGAAACAATACTTGCCTGTCCGCAAAAACCAGGTCTCGACTACAATAAAGAAACAAGACGAACGAACATAGCATGGGCCGTCCTTCGTTGACTGTTCCGCTACCAGTGTCAATGATGTGGGAAATTGACCAGTCTTGATTATGCTTCCGCACGTAAGCTCCGCGGAATCGAGCAACATGAAAGCGGTCGTCTGCACGACCAATCGAATACAGCAGATAGAAATCAGGGAAGCCTCAGACAGTGACAGGCACACATCTGATAACTTGTTATCGCTGATAGCTCAAGAAAGGGCCCCCCCTTATATTATTGGGAGAAATGGCCACATCACATGTCATACTGTCTCTTCTCTCCAACTGCTTAGCTACTGCGTTTCTAGCTGCACAGATACGGGCAAAACACACCAATCTTCACACAATAAACCCCACATAGGTCCCCAAGAGTCCCCAAGGGGCCCCCAAGAGAGCCAAGAGGCCTCCAAACTGCCTCCAAAAAGCTCCCGAGAGGCCTCCAACGAGATCCCAACGAACATCCAATAGGCTTCATACCCACAACCCAGGCACGGTTGCGGGATGGGCCGAAGGCCACTCGATTATCTATGAGGAAGATGGATGGGGGGGAGGAATGGGGCGAAATGGAAGGGACGAGCTGCCCTTAGCGCGCCCGCCGTCCTCTCCGCTGGGCGCGTCGCGCGCGGGTGGCAGGGGCCTCCGCGCTCGGCGGGGGAGCTCCACGTCATTCTCCTCCGCCTCCTGCTGCTCCTCCTCCTACTGCTGCTGGTTCGGTGGGCTGCGCACCTCCTGTTGCTCCTGCAGCCATGGGGCAAGCCAAGACAGTAGCGGACACCTACGCCCGTCTGAGCTGCGGGGGCACCGAGGCGAAGATGCAGAGCAACTGCAGGACGGCGAGGCGCCCCCGGCAGCAGGCCGCGCTTCTCCGTCACGTGTTCATTAGTTTCCTCACCATCCTCTGCCTCGCACTTCTCCTCTTCTCTCTCCTCGCTTCCCTCCACTTCCTCTTCCTCCTTCTCCTGCTGGCGCTGCTCCCGCTGCTCCACTTGCTGCGCCTCGTCATCCCTCCCTCCTACATGTCCTTATGCTGCTGATCCTAGTGGCTGTTCCTCTTCTTCCTCCTCCTTCATATACTCTCTTTGCTTTCCACGTCGCAAAACCCAGACCATGATGACCATGGAACCCTTTCCCTGGTCATGGTCTGGTCCGTTGCCCATGCAGCAATTACCATGGTTATGGTAATAAGGCCACGGATGGATTATATGACAAGCGAACCATCCCCCTCTCGGGGCCTCGACTGCTGACATGACTGTGATGGACAAGCGGTGGAGTATACAGAAAGGATTAGGTCCGAAACTCGCGTGAGTCTCCGTCGACCTTTTCCCGTGAATGCCTTATGGGGAGTGAAGCCGCCGTCAGCAGGGGATGTGAACTTGTATTTGGGAACCCACGAATCAAATATTTATGGCCTCGTGTGGCATAGCTTGGCGCAGTATGATCTGACAGGCTGCGGTGCTAACAGCGATGAGACAGGAAACCGCCGAAGCAAAGAAAGGCACCAACATATAGGAACAAGCTTTGAGGCAAAGAGAAGGACCGACAAAGGAGGAGGCCAGAGATCCCACACAGCTCTCTCCCTCCCCTACATTCACACCACCCCCTCCTTCTCCTCATATCTAGAAGACGAAACAACTGCATACACATAAGCTGTCGGAGCTCCGCGCGGATTTCGTGCGTCGCAAGAGAGGGGGGCCCAGCGCCGATCCGAGAAATCGGCGCGGGCCGTCGAGCAGTTGTGTTGCTGCCGCTTTCTCCGTCCCCGTCCCCGTCCCCGATCCTCCTCCTCTTCGGCGTCTCCGTCCCCGATCCTCCTCCTTCTCGTCCTCGAGCCTCCCCGATCCTCCTCGATCCTCGACCCTTCTCCTCCTCGATCCTCCTCCTTCTCGTCCTCGCCGTCATCGCCCTCCTCGCTGTCAGGCGGCCAGCACGCGCGGCCCGGGGTGCGAGGCCCCGAGGGGCGCGGCGGGGAGTCGACCGCCCGCCCCCTCCGCGCACGTGCACGAGCTCGCCAGCCGCACACGGTGGAGGCTCAGAGGCTCCCGAGGGGCCCCCCGAGTGGCTCCCGAGAGGCCCCAGAACTGGCCCGCAGAGGCCTCGAGCGCGCCCACAGAGGCCCCGCCACGCTGCCAACTGAGTCCTCCTACTCCTCCTGCTCCTGCTCCTCCTCCTGCGCTGCCCTCCTCCTCCTCCTCCTCCTCCTCCTCCACCCCCTCCTCTTCGTCCTCGTCCTCGTTCTCGTCTTCGTCGTCCTCCTCCTCCTCCTTCTCCTCCTCCTCTTCCTCCTCCTCCTCCTCCTCCTCCTCCTCGCCTTCTCCTCCTCCTCCTACTCCTCCTCCTCCTTCTCCTCCCCCCCACTCCTCCTCCTCCTCCTCCTCCCTCCTCCTCCTACTCCTCCTCCTCTCCTCCCTCCTCCTCCTGCTCCTCCTGCTCCTCCTGCTCCTCCTCCTCATCCTCCCTCCCCCTTCTCCTCATTTTCCTCCTACTCCTCCTTCTCCTCCTTTTCTCCTCTCCTCCCTATCCCGTCATCCTCCTCCTCCTCCTGCTGCTCCTCCTCCTCCTCCTCGTCCTCTTCCACCTCCTCCTCCTCCTCCTCCTCCTCTCCCTTCCTCCTCCTCCTTCCCCCCCTGCTCCTCCTCCTCTCCTCCCTCCTTCCTCCCCCTCCTCCTACTCCTCCTCCTCCTCTCCTCCTCCTCCTTGCTCCTCCTCCTCCTTCCTCCTCCTGCTGCTGCTCCTCCTCCTCCTCCTCCTACTCCTCCTGCTCCTCATGCTCCTGTCCCTCCCCTGCGCCGCCCTCCTCCTCCTCCTCCTCCTCCTCCTCCTCCTCCTCCTCCACCCCCCCTCCTCGTCCTCGTCCTCCTCCTCCTCCTCCCTCCTCCTTCCTCCCCCTCCTCTCCTCCTCCTCTTCCTCCTCCTCTTCATCCTCCTCCTCCTCCTCTCCTTCCTCCTCCTCCTCCTCCTCCTCCTCCTCCTCCGCCTGCCAGGGCGACGAACGGCGGGGGGCTGCCGAGGGCCGCCTGGGGCCCCCTCGCCACGCGCCCAGCGCGGCCCGCTGCGCGCGCTGGAACAGCGGCTCGATGCGCTCGGCCCAGTGCGCGCTGCTGCCGTCACTGCCGGGCGCCTCGGGGGAGCCCCTCCGCCCTCTGGGCATCCCGGGCCCTCAAATCTGGGCGTTGCACTAAACAACAAATCGCGACGACCTTTTTTACCAATGCTTCCCGGCATCTGGGGGCCGTTTTCCAGCTCCAGTAATAGCCCAGGAGGAGACATCGGGCCCAAGGAGGGCGTCGAGATTCTGGGGGGGGGGGGAGGCGCCACACGAAAACCTGCGACGTTGGGGAAATCCCTGACGGCCCTTCTCTCCTTCTGGCTAAGATTCGCCCCCTGGCCGGGGGGATGGAGGAGGGAGGTTTCTGGATTTTTTGGCCAGGATTTTGAAATTTGACGAGGGCGGCGACATCGACGATGAATATGCTGATGGCGACGGCGGTCATGATATCAACGACTAGGATGACGATGGTGATGGTGACGATGATGATGCTGATGATGTTGACGATGATGATGCTGATGATAATGATGATGATAATGATGATGCTGATGCTGCTGATGATGCTGCTGCTGATGATGATGGGAATAACGATGACGATGGCAATACTGAGTCTGACGGTGATGGGAACGGTGGCACTGATGACGATCAGGAGGAGGTGCGCGCGCGGAGAACTTCATAATTTCTGAACCACTTCAGCTGAAAAAGACAAGGCGCTCTTGTGTGTTGAAATGCTCAAAAAGCCAATGGTGTTGTGATGATTTCGACGTGCGCGCGCGGATACGCGCGCGTGCGACCCTCATTGTATTATGTGGTAGAGCTGGCGGGTATGGAGCGATTGCTCAGCGTCTCCGACATGCGCGCGCGTGGCCTGCATGGCCTCGTTTGATATCATTTGACAGAGCGGCTCAACACCCATGGATTTCTTCTGGTTTCAATGAATGTTCGCGCGCAAAACATCTGCCAACTGTGTGTGGTAGAAGCAGCCGTTTCCTGCTGGGGCTGAAGCGCTGTCTTGACATGGCTAAGGAACGAGCTGTGCTGGAACGGTTTGACATGCCCGTGCGGCGGCGCGCGCATGTGCCCCGCATGGATCCGTGTTGCACGGTGCTGTTGCAGATCGCACTTCTTAGATCTACGCATGTGCACCACATGGTACGATTTGACAATGAGGAAGGGGGGGCGGTGCTGGCTGGGACTGCCTGGGATGGCGCTTGACTCGGTGTTTAGGATGAGCGGCCGTGCAGCACTAATACGACACACATGCGCGAAGGGGTTCCGATCAGTCCGTCCACGGTTCGGGGGTCCAATCTAAATCCTGTCAGGGACAGGAGCCGAAGACGTGCAAACAATGTTTTGCAAGCCATGTGTTGCATTCAGTGTCTTGCAGCCTGGTCGCAACGTGCGTGGCGCGATCTATGGATGCACCTGGAAAGCCCAGCGAGCGCCCGAGGCAACCACGAGGCGCCCACGGGTGCCCTGCAGCCAGGCCAGCCGGCGCACGAAGCGCCCACGCGCGCACGCTGGCCGAGAATCTGGAAACGCCGACCAACGCATGGGGCACCCAGGGGCGCCCACGGGGCTGGAACCATCGCAAGCCCAGAACCGCAACCCACTCGTTTCAAGCCGTAGGCAAGTGCAGGCGCTGCTTGGGGGAACCAGGTTTGAGGGCGAGGGCTTTTTTCGGAGGTGTGGGCCTCGGCGCCGCGTTCGTTTGTCCTGAAAGTTTCCAGCTGTCCAAGATGGGGTGCGGATCGTTTGCGAACTTTGGCTCTCACTTCGACACGAACATATTCGCCGTAAACATTGGCAGACGTTACATGGATGGTGGGCGGCTCGTTTTCAAAATGGATTTCTCGCTTGAGAACGCTTGAGACGCCACCACAAAGTACGACACGAAATCCACAAGTGTTTAAACAAAGGTGAACCAATTCAAGGATGGAAGGCTGCCCATGGGGCGCTCGTCTATCTTTCAAGGGGATGCTTCCCATAACGAAAAGACATGCGTCTATACATACATACACATACACATACACATACACACACATACATACATACATATATATATATGCAAATATATACATATATATTTATATATATGCATGGATACATATATGCATGTATACATATATATATATATACACACGCAAGACTGCAATGGCTCTTCGCGCCATGCATCGTGGTCCTTGAAGCTTGGTGTGCAGGCGGAATGGCAGGGAGGGCAAGCCGACAATTTAGCGATAACTCCTTGTTGCCTTTTCTGGCATCGACGTTATAACAATGCTATTCGTTATCCTTCCTGCATGCTTCCTTTTCCTTATTCTCGCCATGCCCTGCGCATTCTCCCCTATCCTCCTCTGCTCTTTTTGCGGAGGCTTCTCTTTGGAGAGCCTCTGGGGGCCTCACACAGTAGTTCTAGGCTTTCTTAAGGCCTTCTGGAGGCCTCCTGGGCGTGTTCTGGGGGCCTCTGGGAGCTTCCTCGGGCCACCCTGCCTCCAACCGTGGTCTCCCTGAACGACCGGGCCACGATTTGGAATGCTTCGGAGGGTGTCTTGGGGCCATCTTGGGCCGCCATGGGGCTCTCTGAGGGCCATCTTGGACCCTGCTGTGCCGTTTTGGGCTCTCTTGGACCGCCTGGAAGCCATTTCGGATGGTTGTGGGGCGATTTTGGAGCCTCCCAGGCGGCTTCGGACGCACAGAAGACCGCCGTTTTGGAGCGTCGGGAAGCCGAAAAGAGAAGAACCCCAATACTCACCAAAAACCTACGAAAATCTAGGATTTTTGCCTCTTGGGGTCTTCTTGAGAGCGCTCTTGGAGGCCTCTTGGGACGTTTTGGAATAATCTTTGGGGGTATGACGGCTTCTTGGGGGTCGCCGTGGACCGTAATTATTGGAGCTCTCTGGGGTCGTTTCTGGAGCGCGCCGGAACGCCTGGAACCCGTCTGGGGCCGTCTTCGGGCTCTCGAGAGGTTCTCCCGGATCGTCTGAAGGGTTGCCTGGAGGCCTAGGGAGGGCCAAATTCGTTAGGGGTGTGTGTGTGAGAGAGAGCTTTTTCCGGCGTCCCTGGCCCTATATGTAAAAAAATGTATGAATCGGAATATATTGTTTATTTGGTTGGGTGGACACGTCCCTAACGTTTTTTTGTCGTCGGAAGGAGAGGGGACGAGGAGTGCGCGACCACTGAATCTCACCACGGCGTGCCTTGCACAGTTGCGTGAAACAGACGATGGCCAGTAAACCAGGAACGCTACACGAGCCGACCTGCTGTAGGCAAGCTCAAACGACGGTCTTTGGCCTGGGAAACAAAGCAATAACGATATGAGTGCGGGGATCCAGAAAGGGGAGGCGAAGGGGGAACGGAACAAGCGGGAGGAAGGAAAACAGGGGTGTGAGCGGAGAACGCACACACACACGCACTAGGAGAAGCGAGTCCGAAATCTAGATGATCCGTTGCAAGATGATCGACCGACGCCGCAAGACCCTAAGAGAAATCTGGACACCGCTCTGTCGAAGACAACGAGCGCGAGGGAGAGATATCTCTCGAAGTGTGGTGATTGAGATAGAAACTGCAGACGAGATAATGTCTCGGAACAATCGGCGGCCGCCAGAGGCAGAACCCCCCCAGACCCACCTCCATGGCTAATAACGACTACAGCCGTCACGAGCGCAGCCGAAACAGAAAACACGCGTGCCGCAACGGCGCTGGCAGAAAGGCCCTCGGCGAGTGCAGGGGGCGGGCCCGCGACGCGGACTGCCACGCAGGACCCGGCGAAAGCTCCTCGCCGACATCGTGGCCACCACCGGCGCTCACAGGGGGGAAAATTTGGCCGCTGCCTGAGGTTGAGAGGAGAAGCGAGAAGCAGAGGGGACCGAGAAGCAGGGAGGGCAGGATGGGGAGGCGACCGAGGGGAGGGAGGGCGGGAGGGGCGGGAGGGGAGAAGCAGAGGCGACCGAGGGGAGGCGAGAAGCAGAAGGGGACCGAGGAGCAGGGAGGGCGGGATGGGGGAGGCAAGAACAAAGTTCCCCCTGCGACGCCGCGGGCGCGCGCCGCGGCCGCGGGCAGGCCGGCGCAGACTCACCCGCGTGGGCCAGCACGGCGGCAGCCCAGCAGGGAGGTCAGCAGGGCATGCAGACCGGGAGGGAAGGAGAGGGGGGGGCAGCCAGGGAGAAGGACAGGGAGGGGGGAGGGGGCGACGGACCATGCACGCTGTAATCGCAACCGCGCGCGTGGTAGGATGCATGCTGTACAAATAAATCGTGCTAGCTGAGAAGCAACGCGAGGCAAAAGGTTGAAGGTAATGGAGGACACCGCACAAACCGACCTGCAATAGGCAAACTGGTGCAATTAATCGAGGCCTGCACAACAAATCAACAAGGCTAATGCCATGCGAGAGTGGAGGTTCCACGACATCAAGATAGGATGCAAGAGAGCTTCCATGAACAATGAAGCAAGCACGCTGTACTCTCGCCCCGCGCTGTTTTTGTTTTGATGTGTGTTAGTGTGTATATATTTATATCGGAATGCAACTTCCATTTTTTACGTCTTGTGGGTCGTCAGCGTGGACCCCAAAACGACCACGTGGCACGGTGAAGGCGCACACTTTCAAACTTCTACATCGTCTTGCTGGGGTGAGTTTGAGGAGGAAGACGATGATCCAGAGAAGGTTGAGGAACAAATGCCGCTGGCAGATAACTGGCCACTTTTGCGTCTACTAATGGCAGCTACTGCTACTGCTACCACTGCAGAGCGCGGAAGAAGAAATAATCTGGCCTGCTCCTGTTCATGCCGACTGCTACCTACCGCTTGATGCTTGCGGATGGGCAGACCTAGAAGCCAGAGACACGAAACTGGAAACTACGAAAAAAACGTGTCCTCCCTTTGGCGTTGGACACGATAAGCAAACTCTGGTGGCGGATACCTGAAAACGATGAAACAAAAGCGCACCAGTTGGAAACTATTGGAGAACGACGTTGTTAAGGACAGGTGGGAACTGTAAACATCGCCCTGGGCGTTTCCAACAGCCACCAACCCGATAAGGAACCATGAATAGGTGACTTGGGACAAGAAGGCGTATGGCAACATCGTTGAACCATCCTGAGCTTACCGTGGCCATCCTCCGGTAAGGGGACGAAAAAATGGAACCCCACTCGTCGTCGACCCCGCGTTCGCCCCCCCTCCCCCCCAATTTCAAAGTTGGCTTCGGCCTCCCGGAGGCCCTGGGGGTTCCACTTTTTTTGTCCTCTCACGCCTGTGCTGCCGAATGCTTGAGGCCAACTTTGAATTTCTTTTCGGGGGAGGGGCGTGGTATCAAATGCTCCACTCTTTTGTCTATCTACAGTCCCTCCCCCTCCCTTCCCCTCCGACGACGGCGACGCCCGCAATCGCCGGCGGCGGTGCCGCCCCCCGCCTCGCCCGCACGACCCGGCAGCTCCGCAGGCAGCTCCTTGCTGGGGGTGGGGTGGGTGGGGGGGGGGGCGCGCCCCCTTCATCCGGGAAGGGGAGGAGGATAGAGGAGGAAGAGGGGGAGGCTGAGGAGGATGAGGGGCATGAGGAGGAAGAGGGGATGGAGAGGAGAGCAGAGGAGAAGAGGAGGAGGAGGAGGAGGAGGAGGAGGAGGAGGAGGAGGAGGGGAGGGAGGGGGAGGAGGGCAAGAAGGAGGGGAGGGGGAGTAGGCGGGCGAGGAGGAGGGCGAGGAGAAGGATGAGGGGGAGAAGGGGGAGGCGGAGGAGAGGAGGAGGGGAGGAGGGGAGGAGAGGAGGGGGTGGCGCAGCTTAGATCACCCCCCACTCTCCTCCCTCCTCCTATCTCCTCCCTTCTCAACTCATCCCCCTCACCCTCCTCCTCGTGTTTCTCCTCTTTCTCATCCTGCTTCTCTTACTCTCCCTCGTCCACCTCCTCTTCCCTGGATGGTGCTCACCACGGTGGCGCTCTCACCTCCGAGATCAGGCGAGCGGGGCAGGGTTGAAAGTCCCCCCCCCCAGACCGATCGAATTTCGATGGTCTAGATTTTTGGGCGCTCTTTGCTCTGTGTAAAGCTCCGGGGATCTCTCCGTCGTCACGGCTGGATCCGACACGGCATTTAGGCTAGAACGCACCCCTGGAGAGGTCTTGAGCAGAGACGGGCGGACACGACGAGACGACGATGTTTCCCAACAATCCTGCGGTGTGTTGGGTCATCGTTTGGAAGAGACAGCACCCCGCGTTCTTCCTTCCTCACCTCCTCCCCCCTCCTCCCATCCCTGCCTCTGCCCTCCGCGTGCACATTTCGGCACACCCCGCACAGGTCTCGTGGCCCCACATGGAGCTACACCGAAGCCCCCCAAGAGAAAGGGTTTCGCATGTGGTTCTCCAACCATGTTGGCACATCCCTCGCACGTCTCGTGGCCTCACAGGGAGCTCCACCGAAGCTCCCAGGAAAAGGGGTTTCGCATGCGGCTCTCCACCCATGTCGGCACACCCCTGACACGTTTCGTGGCTCCAGATAGAGCTTCACCGAAGCCCCCAGGAGGGTGGTTTCGCATGCGGCTCTCCACCCGATTCGGCACACCCTTCACACGTTTCGTAGCCCCAAAAGGGACTCTACCGAAGCCTCCAGGAAAAATGGCTCGCATACGGTTCCCCCGTCCATGTCGGCACACACCTCACTCGGTTCGTGGCCCCACAGTGCTCCACCGAAGGCCGCAGTGGTAGGGCCCACATGCGTCCCCGTGCCTAATGCAGGCGCACCCCTCACACGCCTTGTAGCCCCACTGGGATTTCCACCGAACGCGGTACCCACAACGCGGCACTCACATGTGCATGTGGTTGGCTCCTGTGCCGGGAACATTTCCTCAGGCTGGGCCTATGGGCGCCGAGTTGCGGGCCCCCAGGCAGTCAAAATATGATCTGAGGTCGGAAGCTTTTGTGCGCTCGCTGATTTGTTTCCAACATCTTGTGGTGTTTGGTCCTCGTTTTCACCCACATTTAAAATGAGGTTCTTGTTTTGTTTGGACACCCCGCGCAGGAACAATAACCCACTCACTCACTCACTCACTCACTCACTCACTCACTCAGACGCTCACTCACTCACTCACTCAATCACTCACTCATCATCATAAGCATCGTCATTGTCAACACCCCGTCGTCAGCACTCCTCATCATCAGCACTCATCATCACCACCACCACCACCACCACCACCACCACCACCACCACCACCACCATCATCATCATCATCATCATCATCATCATCATCATCATCATCATCAAAAACATCATCATCATCATCATCATCATCATCATCACCATCATCACCATCATCATCATCACCATCATCATCATCATCATCATCATCATCATCATAATCATGATCAGCATCATCATCATCATCATCATCATCATCATCATCATCATCATCATCATCATCATCTTCACCATCATCATCATCATCATCATCATCATCATCTTCACCATCATCATCACCACTCATCATCATCATCATCATCATCATCATCATCACCATCATCATCACACATCATCATCAGAAGCATCATCGCTATTCATTCACTTATCATTTCGTGGCCACTCACATGAATCCTCTCGGCAAGCCTGTAACTGTCGTCACTTTTGGGTTCCTCAGGCCTGAATATGGGGGAAGTATCATGCGGGAGCCTCGTTTGTGGGTGAATTGTGAGGAAGTCTCAGGCGGGAGCTCCCTCCCTAAGGGGCCCGCAGATCCTGCTACTAATCCGAGCGGGCCATCTCATTTTTTAAACTGTCGTCACTTTTGGCCTCCTCGGGCCGGACTTTGGGGGAAATATCAAGCAGGAGCCTCGTCTGTGATTGAATTATGCGGAAGTCTCAAGCGGGAGCCCCCTCCTTAAGGGGCCCGCAGATCATGTTGTTAATCCGAACGGGTCATCCAACTCCTGTAACTGTCGTCATTTTTGCCTTCTCTGGCTTGAATTTGAGAGAAGTATCAGGCGGGAGCCTCGTCTGTGAGTGAATTGTGAAGAAATCTTAAGCGGGAGCCCCCTCCCTAAGGGACCCGCGGATGATGTTACTAATCCGTGCGGGTCATACAATTTTTCAACTATGGTCACTTTTGGCCTCCCCTGGCCTGAATTTGGGAAATATCAGGCGGGAGTCTCGTCGGTGAGTGAATTGTGAGGAAGTCTCAAGCAGGAACCCCCTCCCAAAGGGGCCAGCGGATCATGTTACTAACCCGAGCGGGTTATCCAGTTCTTGTAAATGTCGTCACTTTTGGGCTACTCAGACCTGAATATGGAAGAAATAGCAGGCGGGAGCCTCGTCTATGAGTGATTTGTGAGGACGTCTCAGGCGGGACCCCCCCCCAACAGGGCCCGCAGATCATGTTAATAATCCGAGCGGGTTATCAAATTCTTGTAACTGTCGTCACTTTTTGGCTCCGTTGGTCATCCGAACAGGTCGTTCGATTTCGTAATTGTCGTCACTTTTGGGCACCAGCACGAATACTTTCGGCTCGGCTACGGCATGGGCATCTACTGGGAAACCCTGGCAAGGTGGATCAACACGCGCGCTCGTCGCGACGCACGGCGCCTGGGCGTACCCTTCGTTTCCCTGCAGGCCGTGGACGAGTGCAGCTCGATTCAGGGCGATCCCGACGCGGGTCGGCGCCTCCTGAACGTCCCGAGCATGCGCAAGACGGGGGACATCCACGGCGTCTTGCTGGCCCACGTCGGCATGGAGGTGCGGTTGACGGTCGCGCAGGAAGAGCTAAATAAGAAATTGGGACTGGTGCGTGAGCAACGGGCCACCATCGTGTCCTTCGATTTCCACCACGAGGACGAGCGGCTGTACGAGGAGTGCTCGGCAGGCCAGCTCTTTCGCCCCCGCTTCTTACCGCAAGGGATCTGGCTGCGGGTGCACGGCTTCAAGGAGTCTCCGATCTACCCGGAAGTCGCCGAGGTGCTGCGACAGGGCGCCGAAGACGCCGACGACGACGGCCAGGCCGAAGCGCGGGCGCGGAGCTTGCTGATGTTCAGGCCCAGCGAGCAGGAGCTCAAGTGGCAAATCTCGGGGCCGCACACCGTGCGCCGCTCGGGGTTCACCCTTACGCACGCGTCCTACCTGACCTCCACGCTGTCGCAGGGCCAGACGCTGCGCAAGGACGTCACCATCGACTGCGCGAGAGACGAGGGCGCTGGCCTCACGGGCATGTCGGACGAGCAGTGGTGGCTGCACCTCTACGTCATGTTCTCCCGCGCCACGTGCATGCGGAACATGCTGATTTTGAGGCCACCGCCGCGTGGAACGAGGGCCGCCAGCGTCCTTGCGGAAGGCGCTGGGGAGTTCGACAAGAGAGCGGAGTGGTCCAGGGCGGAGGCGGAGCAGCTCGCGGCAGAGCTGAGCATCGTGCTGCCTCCCGCCTGAGCGCGGCTGCGCCCCGCTCGAAGTCCGCGGGGTTGTCCCAACGGCTTGGTCTTGCGCGCCAGCGGCTCGCGCGGTTGCCCCGACGTCCTGGCCCGCGGGGTCGTCTCAACGGCTGCGCGACATGGCATATTAGAGAACGCGCCAGTGCTGGCCGAGGCGGCGACGGCGCCGAGGAACATCGACATGCGCGCTCATGCAATAGCAAGGGAAGGAGGTGACGGGGCGCGAAAAACAGGAGGGCGAGGATGGGGGAAACGTAAGGAGCGGGAGGAAGGCCTGCACCAGGGCGAGAGGCAATATACGCAGAAGAGACAGTAATAATGCCTCACCAAGCACGAGGCCGACGGTGAAGGCTTTTTCCAGATTGGCCGAGAGGATTATCATGTGGGGTCTTTCCGTCGGGGAAATGAAGAGACAGCGCCCTGTGTTCCTCTCCTCCCCTCTCCTCCTCCTCCTCCCGTGCCTGCCTCTGCTCTTCGCGTGTCAACATCGTCATCGTCATCATCACGATTACCATGATGATCATGATACTGATCATCATCATCATGATCATCATCATCACCATCAACATCATCATCACCATGACCATCATCACCATCATCGTCATCACCACTATCATCTTCACCATCATCATCATCATCATCATCATCGCCGTCGCCATCACCATCGCCTTTAACACGACAGTGACCATGACCATCACCGGCATCAGCACCCACATCATCATCTTCACAACCATCACCGTCATAACCATCATTACCAGCACAACCATCAGCATCAACATCAGCATTGTCATCATCATCATCACCATCACCATCATCATCACCATCATCATTATCGTCTCCCTCCTCCTCATAATCATCATCATCTACATCATCACCAACACAATCATCATCATCACCATCACCACCACCCTCACCCTCATCCTCATCCTCGTCCTCATCATCTCCATCATCATCACCAGCACAACCATCAGCATCACCGTCATGATCACCATTATCATCATCCCCCACCCCTACCCGCACCACCATCATCATCATCATTTTCATCATCATCATCATCGTCACCATCACCATCATCATTACAACCACCACCACCATCATCATCATCGTCATCATCATAATTATCACCACCATGATCATCATCATCACCATAGTCGTCATCATCATCATCATCATCATCATCATCATCATTGTCGTCGTCATCATCATCATCTTCATCATCATCATCACAACCACCACCATCATCACCATCATCATCATCATCATCATCATCATCATCCTGAGCATCATGATCATCATGATCATCATCATCATCAGGATCATTATCATCATCATCATCATTATGATCATCATTATCATCATCATCATCACACATCGTCATCATCGTCATCACCATCACCATCACCATCACCATCATCATCATCATCATCATCATCATCATCATCATCATCATCATCATCATCATCAACGTCGTTAGTATCGCCATCATCGCCAACGTCTTCGGCACATCCCTCACATAAAAGGGGGAACTCTGCCGAAGGTCCTAGGGGCGTCGGCCGCATGCGTTCGACCCCCCTATTTACCCATTTCGGCACACCCCTCACGAGGATCGTGGCCCCATAGGGAGCTCCACCAAAGGTCCTGAAGGCGCCGGCCGCAGGCGTCCGACCCACCCATGTCGCACACCCCTCACGAGGATCGTGGCCCCATAAGGAGCTCCACCGGATGTCCTAAGGGCGTTGGTCGCATGCGTCCGACCCGGCCCATTTCGGCACACCTCTCACGAGGATCGTGGCCCCATAAGGGAGCTCCACCGAAGGCCCTAAGGGCGTCGGCCGCATGTGTCCGACCCGCCCATTTCAGCACACCCCTCACGAGGATCGTGGCCCCATCAGGAGCTCCACCGAAGGTCCTAAGGGCGTCGGCCGCAAGCGTCCGACTCACCCATTTCGGCACACTCCTCACGAGGATCGTGGCCCCATCGCGAGCACCACTGGAGGTCATAGGGGCGTCGGCCTCAAGCGTTTGACTCACCCATTCCAGCACACCCCTCACGAGGATCGTGGCCCCATAGGGAGCTCCACCGAAGGTCCTAAGGGCGTCGACCGCATGCGTCCGACCCACCTGTGTCGGCACACACCACACAAGGATCGTTGCCCCATGTGAATCCTCCACCAAGGGTCCTGGAGGCGTCGGCCGCATGCGTCCGACCCACCGCTTTCGGCACACCCCTCACGAGGATCGTAACCCCATCAGGAGCTCCACCAGAGGTCCTAAAGGCGTCGGCCGCAAGCGTCCGACTCACCCATTCCGGCACACCCCTCACGAGGATCGTGGCCCCATAGGGAGCTCCACCGAAGGTCCTAAGGGCGTCGACCGCATGCGTCCGACCCACCCGTGTCGGCACATACCTCACAAGGATCATTGCCCCATGTGAACCCTCCACCAAGGGTCCTGGAGGCATCGGCCGCATGCGTCCGACCAACCCATTTCGGCACACCACCCACGAGGATCGTAATCCCATCAGGAGCTCCACCGGAGGTCCTGACGGCGTCGGCCGCATGCGTCCGACCCACCGCTTTCGGCACACCCCTCAGGAGGATCGTAACCCCATCAGGAGCTCCACCAGAGGTCCTAAGGGCGTCGGCCGCATGCGTCCGACCCATCCATTTCGGCACACCCCTCACGAGGATCGTGGCCCCATATGGGGCTCCACTGGAGGTCCTACAAGCGCCGGCCGCACGCGTCCGACCAACCCATTTCGGCGTACCCCTCACGAGGATTGCGGACGCACAGGGAGCTCCACCGAAAATCCCAGGGGCGCCGCCCAGATGCGTCCCGCCCACACCCCTCACACGTTTCCCTGCCCCATCAAGGGCTCTACCGAAGGTCCCTGCGGCCGTCTTCGCGCGCGCCTCCCCCGCCCATTGCGGCACGCCCTTCGCACGCTTCGGGGCCCCATGAGGAGATATGAGGAGCTACACCGAGGGTCACAACGGCGGTCGTCGCATGCATCTCCCCCACAGCCCGCATGCAGTACCCGCCCCATGTTGACACACCCCTCGCGCGGTCCGCCCATCTCACGCGGTTCGTGGCCCAATAGGGAGTTCCTCCCTCGATCGTCCCGCCTGCCCTGCTGTACTCACAACTGCATATGCTTTGGTCCTTCGTCAGGATTAATGCTGTATCTTCCGACGGGTGTCATGGCGGACCTGGACCCCCAAATGCTTCTGTCGTGTCGTGCGCAATTATAAAGGGGAGCTGTGTACACTGGAGGAAAAAGGAAAAGGAGGAGGCGGCAGATGAGCAGGAGGATTGGGCGGGAGGTAGTGGGGGAGGACAGGGAAGGAGGCTGAGGCAGAGGTGGAGGAACATCAGCAGCACGAGTAGGATGCGCGCAGCGAGTAGGAGGACCCAGGACAGGCGGAGGAGGGGAAAGGACGGGGGTGACGACAACAAGGAAGCGCTCGGATCTAGAAGGGTGGCCGACGTTGAGGCGAGACCGCCACTCTGAACGAACATGAGGTCATCGCTACAACGGGAACGCCCTTCGAGAAGCACTTGCATTTCCGACAGAAAACCAGACACCCCTTTGAACAATCAACGTCTGTCATTCGATGCGTACCAGCACCGTGTGCGGGAGAACAGTGTCCCCGCTCGCACAGGATCCGTGGAGAGAGAGGAGGATACAACTCAGATCGGGGAGTCGAACAGGGAGAAGGGAGAGCGGGAGGAGGGAGGGCCTCTGCTGTCCCCACAGGCCTCCCCGATCCCCCCACCTCCCACGCCCACCCTCCTCTCCATCCCCGTTCTCCTCTCCCCGTCCCCTTCCCGTACTCCGGACCTCCCAGGCCTCTCCCCCCTAGCCCTGGTCCCTCTCCCTCCCTCCCTCCCACCCACCGCCAACCAGAGAGGGAGGGTCCAGGGAAGCATGGAAGGATGAGCAGAGCAGCAATGAGAAAGACGGGGGGGTGGGGGATAGGGGAGGAGGAGGGGGAGGATGACGATGAGGAGGAGGAGGAGGAGGAGGAGGAGGAGGAGGAGGAAGAGGAGGATGAGGAGGAGGAGAAGGGGGAGGAGGATGAGGAGGAGATGATCGAGAAGGGAAGCGGGGGAGGAGCGCGGGGGAGGAGGGAGGCCACGCAGCGATCATCGAACGCGCCCACCACCGCCGCGATCCCCCGAGGGATCGGCGGCGGCGCGATTGGGCCAGCGCGCGGTAGGGCATGCCGCGTGTGTGCGGCAAGGTCGTGTCGAGAACACCTCGGCGCTGGTTCCGACACTGCGTGGAATGCCCAGCCTTTGACGATCGCAGCTTTCTGCTAGCGCACGAATCTGGGCCACTGGCGGCGGTCCACCTCGGATGCCCACGCTGGGGTCGCCGCCGCCGGGTGTCCGCGCTGGGGTTGCCCGCGTGGAACGGTTGAGGGAAGAAATCAAGCAACACACTCCCCCCCCCTCCCACGCAATTCAAAGTTGGCACGCTCCTTGAAGACCACTCGGAGGCCCAACATCGGAATATCCGAAACCAACATCGCATTTAGGGGGAGGGGGGGAATTCAAATCACATCGTCCGCATGAATGTTGCTTAGTTGTTTTTGACGCCTGAATGTGCAGCTTTTAACTATCGGAACTTTCTGATAGCGCCCGATTCTGGGCCACTGGCGGCGTTCCACCTCGGATGCCCGAGCTGGGGTCGCCACCGCCGAGTCATCGTATGTACGACATGCGCGCGCGTGTGTATGTGTGTGCGTGTGTAAGACATGCGCGCGTGTATCTACGCTGCCAGGATCGGAGAACACACTATATAGAGATATATTATTCTATACATGTATACACAGCGATGGTGGGACAGGGAGAGAGGTTATGCTATACATACATATACGAGGAAGCAGTCTATACACAGATATATATATATATAAGAGAGAGAGAGAGAGAGAAAACACAAGAGAGAGAGAGAGAGAGAGAGGGAGAGCGAGAGAGAACACATGATATTTATGTAGAGAGAGAGAAGGAACGAGGGAGAGAGAGAGAGAGAGAGAGAGACAGAGAGAGAGAGAGAGAGAACGAGAGAGAATAAACAAGAGAAATATAGAAATAGGGGGATAGAGAGATAGAGAGAGAGAGAGAGATAGGCTGAGGGAGACAGGTCCAGACCTCCGACGTCTGGCTGTTTCGCATCGTGAGATCCTGGGCCTCTCGACCCTTTCTTTCCCCGGAACCATCTCTTTGTCCTGACTTGTCCTTGGACCGTCCCCTGGGCCTGGAGAGCAGCTCCCGGACGCCGAGGATGCGGGCGCGACCCCGCCACCAGCGAGTGGCGGCGGAAGGGGCTCCTCCCCTGGCGGCAGCATCAGCACCTGAGAGCCCGAGGAGCGGCGCTGGCAAGCGCGACTGGGCGGCCCGCGACAGTCGATCCGAGAAACAGCCCTGAGACTGCATCCCATATCAGGGAGAGAGAACACACACACATACCCACACAAGCAGGCACACACACATACACACACCAACACCACACAACACACCAACACCACACAACACACAAACGCCACACCACACACCACACAACGCACAACCCACAACCCACAACGCACAACCCACAACACACAACACACAACACGCAACACGCAACACGCAACACGCAACACAAAACACAACACAACACACAACACACAACACGCAACACACGCAACACACAACACGCAACACGCAACACACACTATACAACAACCAACACACAACACACAGCACGCAACACACAACACAGAGCACACAGCACACAACACACACAACACACAACACTACACACAACACACCACACACCACACACCACACACCACACAACACACGACACACATACACACAAGAGACAACACGCAGCACACAATACGCCACACGCAACACACAACACGCAACACGCAAGACACCACACACCACACACCACACACGACACACAACACGCAACACACAACGCACAACACACAACACACACAGCACACAACACACAACACGCAACACGCAACGCGCACCACGCACCAAACACCACGCACCACGCACCACGCAACACGCAACACGCAGCATGTAACACACAACACACACAACGAGAATAGATCCCAACCGTGAGAAGCTTTGCGCTTAACCGTGAGTGATTGAGTGCACGCTGTGAGTGCACGCTGTGGTGAACGCTCGCTGTGAGTACACGCTGTGAGCCCACGCAGTGGTGAGTATACGCTGTGAGCGCGCGCTGTGAGTGCACGCTGTGGTGAGTGCACGCTGTGAGTGCACGCTGCGGTGAGCGCACGCTGTCAGTGCACGCTGAGTGCACGCTGTGAGTGCACGCGGCGTCGAGGGCTCGCTGAGCTGATGAGCGCGCTAGCACAGCCTGCGCTCGCAGCGTGCGCTCACAGCGTGCACTCACAGCGTGGGCTCACAGCGTGGGCTCACAGCGTGGGCTCACAGCGTGGGCTCACAGCGTGGGCTCACAGCGTGGGCTCACAGCGTGGGCTCACAACGTGGGCTCGCAGCGTGGGCTCACAGCGTGGGGCTCACAGCGTAGACTCAGAGCGTGGGCTCACAGCGTGGGCCAATCACGCTGTGAGTGCACGCTAAGAATGAACGCTGTGAACACGCGCTGTGACCGCACGCTGCGCGCCACCCGGTGAGAAAGACCGTGAGCGCACGCTGTGAGTGCACGCTGTGGGACCGACGGAATCTCGAACTGCTTACGCGCTGGATTTCTCCGCGCGGTCCGAGAGTGATTTCCTCTGTGGTGTGTGTGTGTGTGTGTGTGTGTGTGTGCGTGCGTTTGTATGTGGTGGTGGTGGGAGTGGTGGTGGTGGGAGTGGTGGTGGCGGTGATTGTGGTGGTGGTGGTGGTGGTGGCGTTGGTGGTGGCGTATTGTTGGCGGTGGTAGTGGTTGTGGTGGTGGGTAGGTGGGGGGTGCGTGTGTGTGCGTGTGTGTGTGTGTGTGTGTGTGTGTGTGTGTGTGTGTGTGTGTGTGTGTGTGTGTGTGCGTGTGCGTGGTGGCTGTTGTGCGGTGTGCGGCGTGCGGTGTGCGGTGTGCGGTGGGCATGGTGTGTGGTGTGTGGTGTGTGATGCGTGGTGGGTGCTGTGTGGTGCGTGATGGCTGGTCTGTGGTGGGTGGTGGTGGGTAATGTGTATGTGTGGTGTGTGAGGTGTGCGGTGTGCGGTGTGGTGTGTGGTGTGTGGTGTGTGGTGTGTGGTGTGTGGCGTGTGGTGTGTTGTGTGTCGTGTGTTGCCTGTGGTGTATCGCGGGTGATGTGTTGCGTGTGGTGTGTTGCGCGTGGTGTCTTGCGTGTGGAGTGTTGCGTGCGGTATGTTGCGTGTCGTGCGTTGCGTGAAATGTGTATGTGTGTGGTGTATCGCGTGTGGTGTGTTGCGTGTGGTGTGTTGCGTGTCGTGTGTGGCGTGTGGTGTGTTGCGTGTGGTGTGTTGCGTGCGCGGTATGTTGCATGTCGTGTGTGTGGCGTGTGCTGTGTTGCGTGTTGCGTGTTGCGTGTGGTGCGTTGCGTGTGGTGTGATGCGTGTGTGGTGTCGGAGTGTTGCGTGTGGTGTGTTGCGTGCGGTGTGTTGCGTGTGGTGTGTTGCGCGTGTGTTGTGTTGCGTGTGCGGAGTGTTGCGTGTGGTGTGTTGCGTGGGCTCACAGCGTGGGCTCAAAGCGTGGGCTCACAGCGTGTGCTCACAGCGTGGGCTCACAGCGTAGGCTCACAGCGTGGGCTCACAGCGTGGGCCCACAGCGTGGGCCCACAGCGTGGGCTCACGGCGTGCACTCAACACAGCGTGCACTCACAGCGTGGGCTCGCAGCGTGCACTCACGGCGTGGGCTCACAGCGTGCACTCACAGTGTGGGCTCACAGCGCGGGCTTACAGCGTGGGCTCACAGCGTGGGCTCACAACGTACACTTAACACAGCGTGCACTCACAACGTGCACTCACAGCGCGCACTCAATCACTCATGGTTAAGCGGAAAGCCACTCACGATTAAGCCAAAAGCTACTCACGGTTTGGATTCCCCTTCACACACTACACACAACACACAATACACAACACTCAACACACAACACACAACACAAAACCCACAACACACACCACACACCACACACCACACAGCACGCACATACACACATGCACTTCTCGCATGGGGCGGATCCGCCAGCGTCCCTCGGCCATCTCGTGTCCGCCTAGGGTGCTCCACCGAAGGCCTCAGTGGCAGGGGCTGCGGTTGTCCCCGCCGCCGATTTCGGCGCATCGCTTGCACGTTACGTGGCCCCACACGGAGCTACGCCGAAGGCCCCATTGGCAAGGTCCGCGCGCGCCCCCGCCACCCATATCGGCACACCCCTTACACGTTTCATGTTTTCATTCGGGAGCTCCACCGAAGGCCCCAGTGAGAAGGTCCGCATGAGTCTCCCCCACCCCACGCAGGCAGACGACTCACACGTTTCGTGGCCCGACAGGGAGCTCCACAGATGGCAACACTGGCATGGCCAGCATGCGCCTCGCCGCCCATTCTGGTATACCCTTCGCACGCTTCTTGGCCTCATTGGGTGCTCCACTGAAGGCACAAATTACATGCGCCCCCACCACCAATTGCGGCCCACCCCTTACACGTTTCGTGGCCCCGTAGGGGGCTCCACCGAGGGCCCCGTTGGCAGGCTCTGCATGCATCACCGCGCGGAATCCCGACACATCCAGGGAAATCGCTCAGAATCACGCGGAATCCAAAGGAGCCGCGCGGAATCCCGAGTCGCGCGTCATAATCAAGTCGAGTTCGCGAAAGAACGCGCCATGCATGGCATCATCTGGAGCCTGGAAACCAATGATATCCCGCGCTGCGGCCTCGTGCGTTCCTCTCCCGGTCTTTCCAGCGCTTCGCCTCTGTTAGTTATGCCAGCAAGCCCCTTCGCCCTTTTTCGAAGGAGCCCCGCGCGACCCAATGCGGGGCCAACGCAGTAAAATACATTGAGGCACCCGCCGGGAAAACAATAAACGCACACCACTTTCCGTCGATGGCCGATGGCCATCGTCGGAAAAATTGCCCACGTACTTTGCGCGACGACATGTGACCACGTAGGGCGGACGGCGAGGCATTGAGTTGGAAATGATAAAACTTGAACGCATGTTCGGAAGGCACGGGTATTTTGCAGTAGGGGCGGGGTACGCGTTGAAGAACGGCAGAAGCTGAAAAGAGCAGAAGGGCCGGCCCAAGACACTCTTGCCAGCCTCCCTGGACGCACCTCGCACGTGTTGTGACCCCATAGGGTGCTCCACCGAACGCTCTCTTGACAGGGCCATCATGCGTTCCCGCCACCCATGTCACACCTCTTGCACGATTCGTGGCCCCATAGGGAGCTCCACCGAGGGCCCCTGTTTGCAGGGTCCGCATGCACCACCGCTGCAAATTTTGTTACGCCCCTTCCTTGCAGGCGTCGAGGCCCCATATGGAGGCCCACCGACGGCCCGAGTTGCATGGTTCGTATGCGCCCCACCCCCGCCCATTTCGGCACACGTGTTGCACGTTTCGTGGCCCCACAGGTAGCTCCACCGACGGCCCCAGTGGCAAAGTCCGCAAGCGTCCCCCCCACGATTCGTGGCCCCGTAGGGAGCTCCTTCGAATGCCCTGGTGGCAGGGCCAGCATGCGTTTCTGCCACTCATGTCGGCAGAAGTCTTCAACGTTTCGTAGCCCCGTTGGAAGCTCCACCGAGGGCTCCATTGGCAGGGTCCGCATACATCCCCGTCGCAAATTTCGATACACCCCTCGCACGCGCTGTGGCCCCTCAGGGAGCTCCACCAGGGCCAGCATACGTCCCCGCCGCCCATTTCGGCAAACTCCGCACACGTTTCATGGCCCCATGGGGAGCTCCACCAAAAGCCTCAGTGGCAAAATCCGCATGCGTCCCCGCCGGTCATGCCGCCACAGCCCTCCAACGCTTCGTGGCCCCAAAGAGAAGTCCGGCAAAGACCCCAGTGGGGAAATCCGCACGCGTCCCCACCGCCCATGTCGGCACACCCCTCACGCGCTTCTTGGCCCGTGAGGAGCTCCACCGAAAGCCCAAGCCGGGAAATCCGCATTCGTCCCCGCGCTCATTTCGGCACACCCCTTTCCACGTCTCGTGGGCCCATAGGAAGCTCACCCGGGGGCCCAAACGGCACAGGGCGCATGGCGTCCCCCCCGCGAATGTCGGCACGCCCCTTGCACGCTTCGTGGTCCCTTTAGGGAAATGCACAGAAAGCCTCAGTGTCACAGGGTGCATGGCGTCCCTCCGCTTGTTTCGGCATGCCCCTCACACGTTTCGTGGCCCCACATGGAGCTCCACCCAGGGGCGGATGGTGCGGAAGTCCGCCCAAGGCCTCCGCACGCCTCCGAGAGCTGCCGAGGAGTCTGCCGAAGGCCGCCCGGGGGCCGCCACGGCCACCGAGAGTCGTCGGTGGACGCCGATCGGCCAAAGGGCGGCCCGCACCGCGCCGGGGCCACGACCATCATCTGAGCGCAGTCGTACGGCACGATGGGCTCGCTGGGCGCCAGCCGCACGGCCTCGTCGCACTCGCGCGCGCCCGCGGCGGCGTCGCCAGACCTGCAGGGACTGGGAGAGGCAGGGGGGAGACACCCAGATTAACCGCGTCTTGAAAAGAGCAAGACGGAACTTCTTCCACGAAAGCGTCCAAGGGCCGCTCTCAGGATATGGGACCGTCAAGCTTATTCGACGCGGGGGTCCCCATCAGCGCAGCTCATTTTCTGACGCTTTCCTCTGTGAGTGCCTGAGTGCCTGAGCGTGAGCAATT